ATTTTGGACCCTGGGAGGAGATCCAGCGCGGACCAGCGCTGAGACCAATGCAGACCCGAGGAGAGACTGGAGTGACCAGCACACAGAAACCAGCGCGAACCTATAGGAGAGACCTCATAGACTGGAGTGACCTGACTGGAGAGACCGGTGCGCAGAGACCAGCGCGGACCGAAGAGAGACCGCATAGACCAGACTTGAGAGACCAGCGCGGACCCGTATGGATCAGGAGCATGCAGCACGGACCCGTATGGAGAGAGACCAGTGCAGACCCGTCTAGATCCATGGGAGAGACCAGTGCAGACCCGTATAGATCCATGGGAGAGACCAGCGCAGACCCGTCTAGATCCATGGGAGAGACCAGTGCAGACCCGTATAGATCCATGGGAGAGACCAGTGCAGAGACTCAGCGCGGACCCAGTAACCTCCTGCAGCAGCAGTATATATGCCGTTGTTCTGTGGCCCGTGGATAAAGAAATGCCCCCTATAAATAAGAAGGGGTCACTAATACACGGCAAGATTTCCAATGTATTTGATAAAGCGTTGGCACATTTCATTTCAAAATGAATTAAAAAGTAGGCCAGATCTGCAGTGAAAAAGGCGGTATATAAATAAAGATTACTAATAAAGATTACTACAAATAAATAAATACATCGATATGACGGACATATCACTGGAATGTTGTATTTTTATTCAACTTCACCAAAGAGGACAACCCCGGCGTGTGAACATGTCGGCACTGAATGCGTACGAGTGCTCCTGAGGACTCGTAGGATTTGTACTTGCCCAAGACAAATTCTGGTTACGAGAAATATTCGTGAATGCCACTTTCTTCGTAAAAACCGCGTAAGTAGGATTTACGTACAAATCTGTTCCTAAGAACCGTTCGTGAATGAGGCCCAATGTTGACAGGAAAGGAATGGAATTATTCAAAGTATGCTTTATCTCAGTTAACCTCGCGCAACAATAACGTATTATGTATATTTAGATACAAAAAGGTTTTCATGATGTAATGCAACACAAACTAAAATCTAGTGGTTCAAAATTAAGATGGTAGACGTCACAACAGGATGTAAGGATGACTCGGGTAAATCCACAGTACAATGACAATAAAAGGTGCTTCCAATCTTTTCCAAAACTTGCTCGAAATAACATTATGGTAATCTAAATATGAATACAAAATAAAATTAAAAAGGAGATGCTCCAAGATAATACAACATACATACATTGGCTGCATTGCTGTACAAACCAGAGTTCAAATGACTTGGAAAAAAGTAGCGGTTTATAGTCCAACCGGTTTTGAACGTGCCGCAAGCCCAGTTTAGTTTCCCCCTGAAATCCTGTTCCCACTCCTTCTCTGAATTCCATAGCTACCACTGCACCCCACCGCTCGGAAGCCGTCGATTACTGCACGTACTACCAGACTAGAATTTAAAAAAGTTAAATCCGTAGGTTAGCCTCTGTGGAGAAGTCGAATTTTAAAACCCTAATTATGTAACACATTGCGGTGAGGCCCTAAGACTTTTCTGCCGCGAGCATGCTGGGTACATTCTTGATCTTCTGCTGGACTTTGTCAACTCTGGCGCTGTCTAGAGATGCATGAGATAAGAAATCGTATTTACACACTAGTACTGTTGGGGAAGTACTGCAAACGGACCTTACTATCATGATGACGCTGGGACTAAAACACAACATATGATGTATACTTGAATGGCAAATGAAAGAGTGTGTTTCTTGAATGAGCAAACATGTCATTAAATGTAGCACTTGTTCTAAATCTGCTTCCCTCCATTCTTTTTATAACTCGCTGTGGATATTTTGCAGGGGTTTTGGGATTGGAACACACCCTGGCTGTTTACTCCACTCAAAAAAAAACCTTGAAGAAGAAACATTTGAGAAGAAAACAGCTTGATGCTATACTGGAAATTGTTAATTGCCTAGTATTATGGCTGAATGATAGTAATAGATATAGTGATAGTAATAAGCCAAGGAGGAGTATCAATATCAAAAATAAAAAAAACATGTGTTTGATTTAATTATTAACTTAATATAGCATTGGTCTTTGAACCTAATTCTCCTATAATGGGTTCAATCCCCCCTGACTCTAGGCAAGGCAAGGCAATGCCAGTTTATTTATATAGCACAATTCATACACAAGGCAATTCAAAGTGCTGAACAAAACAAGAAAGCATTAAAATCATAAATAATCACAGAACATTAAAAAGAAAGCTAAAAGTATAAAATCCCTCAGTTGTATGCACAGCTAAACAGAACTGTCTTTAACCTGGTTTTAAACATTGTCAGAGAGGAGGCCTGTCTCACATCTTCAGGAAGACTGTTCCAGATTTTAGCAGCATGAATCTGAAAAGCAGCCTCCCCATGTTTAGTTCTGACTCTGGGCACTAACAGGAGTCCAGTCCCTGTGCTCCTCAGAGTCCGGGCTGGTTCATATGGGACTATGAACTCTATACCTGTCATTTTTAATGTAATTTTATCTGGCTTTTGTGTTTATGTGCACTCCCTTGAAAAATAGGTTCTTAATCTCAATGGGATTTTTCCTGGTTAAATCAAGGATAAATTCAAAATATATATATATCTTTGCCCATAGCTTGTTGTTTATAAGCAAATATCTATAATCAAGATGCATAATTATTGGCGTGATTATAATAAAATACAGTTGGATTTGATCAACTGGACCAAAACTGTTTAAAAAGGAATTAGACCTGAAGAGACAGCACATGTTTCACAAACAAAATCAAGTGTTTTTCTTTGCCTTACCAGTTGGTGGTTACTATTATTATCCACAATAGTGACATTTTCCCTGCCACTACTCATTGCCAAAAACACCAGTTTAACAAACGAATGGGCAAGGCAGTCAGATTTGTGAAGAGAAGGTGAAATCAGGCACCCTGCAGATTTAGGCAGCTTTATGGTTCGACAGATCAGATGAGATTATCGCTCACTGATCTGTGTAAAGCAGCTCGCACATTCATTGATTCGTATGTTGAATCCTAATAGAGATGGGATGGTTATCGGTATACGGTGATACCAGAAGCCAGGAATAATGCTTTATTATTAACTTTGTATCAGTTAGAGCACAGTTCACAAACAGACTTTTTCTCGTGATAATATAAGTCTACAAACCCACAAATGTCAATTCCACGATGGAATAGCAGCCTGCGGTCTTTCAATCCATTCATCTATTCACTGTGGTTGTTTTGTATTCCTCAGAGTTACTCAAACCCTCGACAAAACTTGTTAAAACATGATTTGATTTGTTAGAGCTGGAGTAACTATGTTTGAAAGCAGAAATAAAAAACATATTTCACTAATTTCTAGCTCTAAAAGGTATTGTTTCACTTTTTACATATTTTTGGCCTCTATATGTTTAGATCAGCTTTTTGTTTTCTAATAACGTTGATAAGAAGTATTTGTTCACAAAATGTTACTCTTGCTGTTAAGGTAAGGCCCCCCAGCTTTAATCAAGTAATACACTATAGTAATAGACTGTAAAGCCGCACTGCTTGTATACAACAGTGCACCAAAGTTCATCCATGACATGTTAGTGGGACTGGTCTCCTGCCGAGAGTCTGAGGAGCACAGGGACTGGCCTCCTGCCGAGAGTCTGAGGAGCACAGGGACTGGCCTCCTGCCGAGAGTCTGAGGAGCACAGGGACTGGCCTCCTGCTGAGAGTCTGAGGAGCACAGGGACTGGCCTCCTGCTGGTGCCCAGAGTCAGGACTAAACATGTGAAGGCAGCATTCCCGTTTTATCTGGAATTCCTAACTCTAACTCTGACAAATCCAGGTTGAAAACAGTTGTTTATCTGTGATTGCCTCTCCACTCTTTTTCGTGTACTGTGATCGATTGCTTTGTGTATGAAAAGTGCTAAACAAATAAACTTGCCTTGCCTATGTCACACATTGTATTTCTGCCCACAATCATTAATTGTAGAAATTGCACAGCATCACATAAATATCAAGGATCCCTCCTGTATGCAATAAGATACCTTCATTTGTTGGTATGAGAAACACTGATAGCCAATTTCAACTTTTAAACACAAAGACAATAATATCCTATGGTAGAAAACAAGTAAAGGTGCCATGAGGTGTGAGAAGCAAATCCTCCCACCTGACACACAACAGGTCTGGTGTGATCTCGCTATGGGACATTGACCTACTGACCACACGTCCGGCAAGACGGTCACGCATGCGCTTCTACTCAACTCTAATCCATGCTGTACCGTCTTCTGCAAAGCATGGGGAAGCCAGAAGTCTGGAATCTGCAGCATTTCCTCCCACTGTTGCCTACCTCCGGTGCATGTGTTGGAATTAGTAGGCAATCTAAAAACAAGAGGCATGTTGTAGCACTGACATGACAGTTTGACTGCCTCATCTGACCTACTTTCAGACCCCCCCCCCATGTGCCTGGTCTGGGTACAAGGGAAACAAGACCACCAGGGTAGGAGGGAGACAGATAGACAGCATAACAACAGCCTACATGCCTCCATAGCCTGCTGTCTGGGAGAACAGTGGCTGCGTACAACTGGACAAATTAATTATTCATGTGCATTGTGGATAAGCGTACAATAGGAGACGAATATTTTGTTTTCTTCTGCCATGGGATATCTTATGATGATGATGATTGTGCAGTCATATGACACCTCAACATGGGTAGTGCCTGGTGGTTATCTGAATGATCATAAGAGAAACAGATACACAACTCAAAAGACCATTGACCTAAATTTCTACAGCCCTTTTGTTACAGTGTTTATCACAGGCGTGGGTTTGGTATTGCTAGTCTTCACATCAGATGAATGAATGAAAACGCATTCGTAGTTTCTATATTAAAACCTTGAATGCACGTAATTACAGGGTGGTAGATCCATGTATTCACGTCCTGGTTTCTTTGTGAAAATGACGCCAAGTTTATAATTACACGTGAAATCTCAGCATCCACCCACGTTTGCATTTGTTCTGTTACAACAATAGGCATTCTCCTACCTGTCCTCTCTCAAAGTTTTCCTTCTCCAGATCCAGACTGTTGGCCCCTCCTGTTCGTCTGATCACTTTGGGAATAGCGTTGGGGACTTGCTGCATGGAGCTCTTCACTCGGTCCATTGTCGATTTTTACTGTGACCGAACCCACGTCGACCAAAAAGCGTCCGATGAATCAAAACAAAGGTGTAGACGAGTAAAATGTGCGACCTAAGCAGCTATGTCGGGCCACAGTCCATAGTTTGGTGGACTTGTCTCCCGTTCAGTGTCCACCACTGACAGCAGCCTCCGAGCCAGTGTGAAGCCGACAGTGGCCACGGAAATGGCAATAATACCATTTCCTGTCTGACTCTTTCAAAATAAAACACACCACAGATAATGTCCCATGTTTTACAGTCTATGGTCCATATCCTGGAGTTAAAGGTATATAAGAGGATTTTATCAAATTTTAGGAAAGAACCGCCCTCTCCACTTTTTGAACAAATCTCTCCGATCTTATTTGACGAGCACTATCACCGGAATGATTGACAATTGGGAGGACCAATAGTCTTGATGATCCATCTGGAAGTAGAAAAATCCTCCTATACTTTACTGGTGGCAAACAAATAATATATAATGATATATAATATAGAGATTAGACTTTAGATCAGCTTGTCTTCAAGGCCTGTATACAGTCTATGATCAAAGTAAAGACACTAATACTGGTTCATATGGCACTAATATGTCAATATTAGTGCCATATGAACCAACTCGAACTCTTAGGAGCACAGGGACTGGCCTCCTGCTGTGACTCTGGTGAGCACAGGGACTGGGACTTTTAGGAGCACAGGGACTGGTCTCCTCTTGGGACTGAGGAGTACAAAGACTGGGACTTATAGGAGCACAGGGACTGACCTCCTGCAGGGACTATGAGGAGCACAGGGACTGACCTCCTGCAGGGACTATGAGGAGCGCATGGACTGGCCTCCTGCTGGGACTGTAAGGAGCACAGGGACTGACCTCCTGCAGGGACTATGAGAAGCACATGGACTGGCCTCCTGCTGGGACTGTAAGGAGCACAGGGACTGGCCTCCAGCTTGTGCCCAGAGTCAGGACTAGTCATGGGGGGTCAGCTAATATCTGTAAATTCTTGAACACTACATTTCCAAAATTGCATATTTATTTATTTATTTTCAATTAAGGCATCAATCCACTGCCCCAAGTTGTTGCAAGTAACGGGCAGTATAGCATTACACTTTTCAACAATAATACTACAATAAATATGTCCTTTCTTTACCACAATCAAAGCAGACCGCATCGTGCAGCCCTCTCTTTTTATACTTGAAGTTTATCAAAAGATGTCTATAGAATATATATCTGTGACGAGATCAAACTGTTTTGAGACCGAGGAACAAATTAGATGGGTTTTATTACATAGTTCCATGTGCTTTGAAAGGATATGCTCGGTGACAGACTCCCCCCATAAAAAACACTTGACTGATATATCAAGTTTGAGGCGCCCCCGTGTGGCCCTTGGGTAGTACAGCACACACGATGAGAGATAAAAGGTGCACCACTTTACTGGTGGAGATGATACAAATGCTTTGGCCCAATATTCTGGCACTGATCGGTACATAACTTCAATATAAGTTAGCAATCGTTACATTCTCGGTATACGTATTTTTTTAACACATCACACTAATACACCATCACATTTTAATTACGCATTCGAGCTGTGAGTGGGTACCTCCCTCCATAGATCTTAATTGTCCTCCCTGGGGTATCGCATAACGGTAATCAAGACGCCCAAATCATTGAAATGTATTCAATTATTCAGCCATCCCACACACGGTACATGCGATATTATGATACATCGATGACTATACGGACAGCTGCCCTGTGGTAGTGTGCTGAAAGCGAGTCTGCCAGTGTGCGCCATAGGCCACCCGACACAGGCCATCCAACAATCATTCACGCACTGGCCGATTTCATTCGTTTCAATCACTGGATGTTTGTGTTTAGTTTCTCGGGTGGGAAAAATAATACAATAAACTACTAGATTAGGGCTTTAAAATTATAGAAATGACCGCCAGATAAAAGTACATCAATATAATTAAAAATACGTATAACCATAAAATCATGTTTTTTTCTATGTGTTCCCATAATAATTTGGTTTTACAGTGTTGTAGATTGCACACATTCATTGTATAATGTAATTACAGTTTTATTCTGTTCAGTACAGGCTGTAATTACGGGTCAATGTTCATAAGCCCACGGGGAGGAACACGGAAACCTCGCGAGATCTGGCACAATAACGGAGTGCTGGGTTTGGGCTTGAAGTTTTCTGATGCATCGGTAGATGAATCATAACATCAAGATGTCAGGACGATCAGGCCGTGCAGAGACGCGAAGTCGGGCTAAAGACGACATCAAAAAGGTTTTGGCGGCCATCGAAAAGGTGCGCAAATGGTATGTATTCTATTTGTGTGTAAGAACAACATGGTGGATACTGTATTGTCGGGTCTGTTATCTGCTGCTGCCTCGCTCAACAAACTTCAGTCGGAAAAGTTGACTGATTGACTGAGCTGATATCCAATGGCTGCTCTGTATTGAGAGGAGAGGCGGGACAGAAGAGATTTCCGCTGAGAGTTGTCAATATGGCTACACTTGAGCCTCTCAAGCAGTGAGCTATAAATGACACGACTGCCCTGTGCCTCAGAAAACAGACCACAGGCTTTTCCTTTAAGGCTTTTCTAAGTGAATCTGTGCAATACACCCACGATGGACTGTTTACCATATGTGACTCATGACTTGACTCACTCTTAATCTTATATAAAAGCATGAATGATCCACAGCCTGTCGGATACACTGGCTCTCAAAGACAAGCTTGAATGGTGTCAGATCTTGTGCACTCATTATTTGCAGGGAGAAAAAATGGGTGACTGTAGGAGACACGTCCCTTCGTATATTCAAGTGGGTTCCAATAACTGAAACCAAACAGGTAAATGTGGTAAATCCAGCATTTCAATTACGGTTACAAACTAAACATGTCTTTATTTTTAGATCTATCGAAGCAAATCCACAGGTGGAGAGGCGAGGGGAATGAAGGATGTAGTGTTGGAGAACACTAATTCGTTGCTGGACTTTGCAGGTATGGTTTGTGTTCTGCTGTCATTTACAGTATCCTATTATACTAAAGCTTATTTCAATAATGACTGATGAACATTGGTCTCTCATTTCAGATGAAAATAGCAATCAGAGTTTCCTGTCTGATGTGTACCACCATAAAATGGATAATAGCAGCAGCTCAAGTTCTCAACAAGTGAGCCCACCACACACCAGTCTCAGAACTGAGGACTCCCAGCCACCCATGCTTGGTCAAGAAATTGTGGATGGTATGCATATTTTTATTTACTGTAAAAATTGAGTTGTGGTATGTTAAGATTGTGACATATTTTTTTTCCTACAGAGCCTGTCAATTCGAGACACGAAGGAACAGATGAACCTCCCACGCTTATAAAGGAAGACCTTCTTTCTTCTGTGACTGTCAAACGGACTGCTCCAAACCCAAAGGTGAGTGCTCAAAGTCATAGAAAACACTTTATTATGTCTTTTTATTATGTTGTTTTGTGTGTTTAATTATGAATCTGAATGGTTTCAGGAATATGTGGAGGAAACGGGAGCACCTCCATTAAAGAAGATTTGTCCTGGAGAAAACTCTGTTCCTAGATAGCTTGGTTATACACCTCCAATTTGTTTCCATGTTTATTTTTATTTGTCTTGGTAAGCTGATATAAAGATCAAAACTGAGTGAAAAACAGTGTACATAAACACAGGCAATGTAGGTACCCCTGTACAGAATGTCATTTCATTATATCGTCCCTATTCCACAACCTATACTGTCTTTATTTTGCTTTAAAAAAAATGTCTAGCACATTTGAGTTGCGCATACTTAATTAGGCTATGTGTGAAGACCTATCTTAGTTCTTATTATGTACACTTTGATTCCCTTTCCCTGCACTCACGGTTATGGCCAGATTACATTTAGTATTTATTATTTGCCTCTGTATTTAAACATGTTTAAATAAATATTGTCTGTTTTTTCTTTATTATTGTGTATTGCATAACAATAACAAGTCGCCCTCAATCTTACGATACAGATGTCACCAGTGTAGATCACTGTACCACACCGTAACCTCTGATTGCGATGGTGGCTTCGTCAAATGATATTCCAGAATACATTGACTTAGTCTTCATTAAATATATCTAGTTTCAGTCTCTATCAAAACACACAACGTGATCAGGATCTTAGTGGACATAAGGACTGTAGTCACCTGACCTTCATCCACTGACGCATAATCAGTAGTGGGGTGGGGCCAACATTTAAGGGGGCGGTTCTTAATGAAACAGACAGCCGAAAATAGCCAATCAGTCAACATTGCTTCCCAATTGCCCAAGCGCGCTAAAGCCACTGGACCAATCCGGGCCGGGGGCAGGCGTGGCCGATCCACGACGCTGTCTGCTGCTGAGGAAACCGAGCGCTGGTTACGCGGATTGAGCCGGTGAAATGAGAAACTCCCGCCATTTCGGAAAGGAATTCAGCTTTTGATTGAACCGGGAAGCTTTCACGAACTGCACACCGCGTGGAATGTCACATCGAGAAGTAGAGTTTGGACGCAATGCCACTTTTTGACTGATAACGCAAGATCAGAGTTACTTTTACAGCACTTTTTTTGGCAAATGACGCACCAGAGCTCTCTGTGAGAAGAAGCCACTTTTGCCGCGAGTTTGATTTTTGTTTGCGTGATTCCTGTTTCCTTCGGGGAAACGCAAAGTTTACAGATTGTGCGTGAAATCAACGCAGGTATAATAGTTTTGATCAAGGCTGTGCAATTTACCATCCCTCCAAAAGCACCGGGGGGATGCGATGAAGCAGGTGGTGAGAAGCGCTCTGTTATTGTTTTGCACATAGTTAGCAACACAGCCTGCTAGCCGTGGAGCTAACTAGCCGAGGAGCTAACTAGCCGAGGAGCTAACTGGCCGAGGAGCTAACTAGCCGTGGAGCTAACTAGCCGTGGAGCTAACTAGCCGTGGAGCTAACTAGCCGAGGAGCTAACTAGCCGAGGAGCTAACTAGCCGAGGAGCTAACTAGCCGTGGAGCTAACTAGCCGTGGAGCTAACTAGCCGTGGAGCTAACTAGCCGAGGAGCTAACTAGCCGAGGAGCTAACTAGCCGAGGAGCTAACTAGCCGTGGAGCTAACTAGCCGAGGAGCTAACTAGCCGAGGAGCTAACTAGCCGTGGAGCTAACTAGCCGCTACACGCTGAGCCCGTCGCCGGTAGCGTGAGTCACCGGGCCTCATTTACTAAGCGTTTGGATAAATGATCAGGACATCTGGCCACAATTTACTAAACTCCACCTAATTTAACGCTTTTGTGGACTTGGACGTTGGTCGCGGTGCCATCTTTTGATTCACCATGGCTCCGCTACTGGGCCGAAAACCCTACCCGCTGGTGAAGGCGCTAGCTGAGCCACCAGGCCCGGGAGAGGAGGTCTTCACCATCGAGCACACGAAGGAGGCCTTCAGGAACAAAGAGTATCCTTCACGTTATGGCGCTGGCTGTATCGACATGGCACACACACCAGCCAAACAATGTACAAATCACATTTTCCTCCAGTTACATCACAACGGCTTCCATGAGACTTTGTCATTAATAACATGCTACCTTGTAACGTTTCTTACACTAATTCACCTGGCGTAAGTTTTATTCCTCTTTTTTTACTTCACTAGATGATCATTTTATCTTTTTTGTTCCAATCCCCACAATAACTGTTCACACTGACATGTAGAAAATCACCGTTTTATAATATGTCAGTGTTTTATAATTCTGTTGACAGCTAATAAGCTAACGTAGCTAGCATGCAGCCGCTAGTGTAGTCATTTGTCACAATAGCCCTTCCAACGCGTGGCTGGAGTGACACTTTATTGAGCGGTTTCACATGACTTGTAGACGTGCACAAATGTACTTGTAGGAACATTCTTGTTGTTATGCACCTTAACCACATGTTTTCAGGGAATATGAAGCACGTTTAGAGCAGTATAGTGAGCGCATCTGGACTTGCAAAAGCACTGGGAGCTTCCAGTTAACACACAAAGAGGCATGGGAGGAGGAACAGGAGGTTACTGAACTGTGAGTAACATTTTGCAGTAACACACCCTTTTTGTATAAGGACATTTTTCTGTCCATTTTAATATTATTGACATTTATTTCCCCTCTTTTCGGTGACAAATATGTGTTGATTATTTTTGCTGAAATATTTGTGTTGTGCTTGTGCTCAATTTCTATGAATGATGTGTAACAATTTATTATCTTATTTGATTGTATACTAATGACTTAAGTGTAACATTGCCCTTCTGCACAGGACACATCTTCATTGCCTTGTTTCTAGCCTTTCATTGTCTCATCCCTAATTGACTAAGTCCCCTAGTGGTGACACCTGGTATTGTGTTCTTATATCAGTAACTTATGTAATATTTCATTTTAAAACTAAGTTTCATATTTAATGACCACTTGCAAAGATTAACAACATTTTCAAAAATGCTTGTACTTACAGGCTTCAGGAAGAATATCCCACATGGTTTGAGAAACCGATCTTGGAGATGGTCCATCACAACACTGTGTCTTTGGACAAATTGGTGGAAATGGCGTGGACCGAAATTCTAACAAAATATGCTGTTGCTGAGGAGTGTGATTTCCTGGTATGTTTTTTTCATTTGCAAAACATAATTGGCCCCAATTATGTTTGTCATTTTTTTGCTTCAACTTGTTTGTTTTATTTAGGTGGGGAAAGACAAAAGTTTGAGAGTAAATGTGATCAAAATTCACCCGTTGGAGAATCCAGAAGTGGAAATGAGTGATAAAAAGCTTGAAGGTGCTTGTGATTCGCCATCTAGTGACAAGGAGAATGCCAGTCAGGAGAATCAGAGGAAAGAGATTCCATCTCGTGAAGAGGAGATTCGGAGGGAAAGCCTGAGTATGCTTTGCGTTGTGGAAATGTCTGATCTATTGTGCTTTTGTCTTTATCGTAACATGTTGTTTACTGTCAGGTGACCGGTCTCGTCGGTCGCCGAGAAAAGCTCCAGCTTCGGCTAAAGAAGAGAAAAAGAAATGGGTAATGCCCAAGTTCCTCCCTCACAAATATGACGTGAAGCTAATCAACGAAGACAAGGTTTGTTACTTTGTTGGTGTTCAAATATAGTTACAGAAATACAGAATGTGTATTACGGTCTTTAGCTACTACAACTAAATAATTTGTTACCAGTGAGCTGATCTGCATATACTGGACACTGTTGTAGCTGGTGTAGCTTAGGCAGTAGGCCTCTGATTCTTCACATGCATGCAAGTAGAGGCCAAACACTGGATTTCAATTGAAATTGGCAACCCAAATTGGCTTTCCAAGTGGATATTCAGTTTGAGAATGAACTATAAAATGAACAATGGCAACATTGTTTATGCTAAACAATTGTTATGCTGATTTTACATTAGCTCCATGTATGGAATTTTAGGACACAATCAAAAGCAAATGTTAATATATACATTGACTGTACATGGTTTCCTTTTTAAATATTTGTTTTTTTGTAAAGCGCTTTGGAGCGTGTTCAGAAAGGTTTTATGCAAGTGAAGGGATGTGGTTTATATATTGTTGGCCCATGTCTGTTTTAGGTGATCAGTGATGTTCCGGTGGATAGTCTGTTCAGGACGGAGCGCCCGCCAACCAAAGAAATCATTCGCTATTTCATACGGCACCATTCTATGAGGTTGGGCACAAGTGACAGTGCTCCTTGGGTAGTTGAGGATGAAATGGTGAAAAAGTTTAGTCTGCCAAGTAAATTTAGTGACTTTCTCCTTGATCCACAAAAGGTAATTTTTGTATTTCCTTCACCATTTGATTATCACATGCCCGATACTTATCCCATTACTATTCGAAATGTGATTCATAGTTCTTGGCACAAAATTCATCTACAAAAAGAAAGAGCTTGACATCCCCAGATGGAAAACCAAACAAGAAGTTGAAGTCGGATGATTCAGCAAAGAAAAAGGGAAAGACACCCCTCAGCCCTACTATTTTGGGTCAGATGCAGGTTGGCTCAATTATGAAATGTTTATTCATCATGATTAGCATTTGTTCTAACGACTATTTTTCTTCTAGAAAAATAATGTGAATGGATCTCCATTTAACGTTAAAAACTCAGGTACTCCTAAAAAAGATGAAAAATGTCCTTCCACTCCAAAATCAGGGAAAAACAAGAAAGATGGAAAGAAACCTGCAAAAAACATCCTGAAGGACTCTAAGGACGGTAAAGCAGGATCGAAAACCTCAAAGATGAAGCAAATGACACTGCTACATCTTGCCAAAAGTACACCTGTTGGAAGTCCAAAGAAAAGGCCTCGCTCTGTCGGAGCAAGTCCCAAACATAGTAAGCCATTACCTCACGTTGCTCTGCGGCTTTTAAGCTACTACAAGAAAAATAAAGGTAAAGAGGACAAGAAACACTTCCTCTCTTCACTTATTTGTATGGCTGCCAAAACGTTGACTGAAGAAGAACAGAACAGATTGCCTGAGGAGCTTAAGGATTTGGTCCAGAAGCGTTGCGAGCTGTTGGAGAAAAAGAAGCGCCGGGCTGCCATGACTGAGGAAGAGAAGAAAGAAGAAATGAAGAAGAAACGACAAGAACTTAATGAGAAGTTGCGAGAAAAAGCCAAAGAGAGACGTGAAGAAGAATCCCGTAGATTTGAAGACCAGGAGATCGAGGATGGCAAGGCACTGCCTGCATTTAAACTTGTGGACATGCCAGAAGGCTTGCCGAACGCTCTCTTCGGCGAGATTGCAATGGTTGTGGACTTCCTCAGTTGCTATGCGGGGCTTCTGATGCCGGATGACCAGTATCCAATAACGGCTGAAGCCCTGATGGAAGCTCTGGCGGGGGAAGCTTCTGGATTTCTGTACTTGAATCGTGTGCTGGTGGTTTTGCTCCAAACTCTTCTCCAGGATGAACTGGCAGAAGGTTACAGTGAGCTGGACATGTCCTTGTCAGAAATCCCCCTCACCTTGCACTCTGCTTCAGAACTGGCCCGTTTGTGCCTGCGCCCGACAGATTCTCACGGAGAGGAGAGCAACCAGGGCTCTGAGGACTCTGCCACGGTGTCTGGATACGACGATGTGGTGAGCAGTGAGTTCTTGGAAAAGCTGGACACGGTGGAAGTGTTTGAACTCAGCCCAGGGGAGAAAGTCAACCTCCTGATAGGACTGTGTCACCGCATCCTCATGACCTACTCGGTCGAGGATCACGTCGACACAATGCAGCAACGGACAGCGGAATTGTGGAAGGAACGTCTGGCGATGCTCAAACAGGCCAACAAACAAAAGAGAGCGGAGAAGGAACAGCGCAAACAATTGAAAGACAAAGGTTTGTACTCGCAAACCTATAACTTTAAATGCATCATGTAGTGCCACCAACCTTTTTGAAACCAAGAGCTACTTCTTGGGTACTGATTAATGCGAAGGGCTACCAGTTTGTCACAAACTCAAATAAATTGCCAGAAATGGCCAATTTTCTCGATTTACCTTTTAACTCTGTTATTATTAATAATATTTATCTATGTGGAAACCCTGATCATCTTAAGGATTTCTCACAATAAATACAAATATAAAACACTTTATTTTTTACATTTTTCAAATTGAACATTTTCAAATGATTACTTCTAAGACAGTCTTGTGAAATCACAATATCCCATTTTAACTAGAGCCACTAACATTTTTTAACAAATCATGAATTACTTTGCTCTGCTCCGAAGTGCCTTGTCCATGCTCCTGCAGCTGCTTCATGCAGCCGCTTCATGCTTCCGCCCAAAACACACACACGGACCAATCACAGCGGAGCTTGTCTGTATTATTGAGGGTGCGCCGCAGGCTACGTACGGGCCTTGCGGTGATCGACGCGTTGCGCAAGTTACGTCACCACCGTAAGCTCTGCGCGACTACACTAGGCTTTAGTGCTGCTATGTGAGCTATTTTTAGAACAGGCCAGCGGGCGACTCATCTGGTCCTTACGGGCAACCGGGTGCCCGTGGCGACCGCGTTGGTGACCCCTGATGTAGTGTATTATAAATGATAATGTTAACTTTGCTTTAGGTAAACAAAATGGAACAGAACAACTGGACAAGAAAAAAGAGGCTGCTAACAAGAATGACAGCAAAAGTCCTGTGAAACCTGAGCCTCAGCCAGAGGACCTGATCAGTTTAGTGAAGAGCAGGAGGCTGATGTCTGCACAGGCCAAGAAGGAAAAGGAAGAAATGGATCGCCTGAAGAAAGGTAAACACTGATTCTGTGCGTTGCATTACATCAATTTTTAAAAAAAAGTTGTTTTCTTACTCAATGTTTTGTCTCTCAGAACGCATTGAGAAGGAGTTAGAAGAGGAACGAGTGCACAGACAAAGGGCTGCTGTGGAGAAGGCGTTCAAGGAAGGCATTGCCAAAGCCAAACTTGTATTACGCAGAACGCCTCTGGGGACGGACAGAAACCACAACAGGTCTGTTCTGGTGCTGCTGCGTTTGACAATTCCACATGCTGTACTTTTTTGAAAGTCCTAAAGTCAAGTTTGTTTCTTTGCTCAGATACTGGCTGTTCTCTGATGTGGTGCCTGGACTATACATTGAAAAGGGCTGGGTAAATGACAGCATTGACTACAGCTTCACTCCTCCTGAAGAACAACATGGTGACGCTGTAGGCAAGCAGGACACGGAACCCGATAAACCCAAGGATTCACTAGGTATATCTCCAGATTACTTTTTGTTTAAATGAACTTTAATTTATAGCGCTCCACCGACCACAACATGAACTAAAAACAAATGTCTTCTTTGTACCACAGATGAAAAAGATGACGGCAGCGTAGATGGGGCTGTTACAGAGGCTGAACCTGCTGCTGAGATCTGTTTGGAAACAACCACCCCGAAGCCAGGCCAAAATCTATGGTAGGTTTTCTGCTGCCTTAAGCTTGTACTGCTTTGTGTATGTATTTGGGTTTCTTTTTTTCATTGAATAGCACTTTTTTCCTCTTGCATAGGTTTGTCTGTGACAGTCCTGCTGAACTTGAAGAGCTGGTGGAGAGTCTTCATCCTAAAGGAGCCAGAGAGAGTGTTCTGAAAGCACAGATTCAAAAAAGGTGAAATACAATAAACATTAGGGCTAGGGCTGTCATTTTTTTAGTTGATTTATCTCATAGTAATGGTTGGTTAACTCATGATTAATCACATTTTTATTGATTCCATTTCAAATCCACTCCAATTGAAGTGAAATGAGATTATCAAATGCAATGACACATTGTCATTTATACCAAATGTACTTAAATCGTTTTGATTTGCTCACAGCCAACATGAGCAGTTAATGAAAGGGAAAATGTATGTACCCCAGTTTCAGCAGAAGACAGGTTACGCAAAGACACGTACACAACATATGGTCTTGGATATGACCACGTTACCGCGGCGCCATTCGGAGGAATTCAGTTCCTACAGCAAACAGAAAGTGACATATGGGCTGGTCATTCGGACATGCGTTATTGCATTATTTATTTTTGTAACCCGATTAATGAAAAATTTAATTAACATGCGTTAATTTGATAATTTTGACAGCCCTAATTCATTTTTTGATGAATTTGTTAGTTTACTTTTTTCATTGTAAGATGAATATTGTTCATTGACATTTTCATGCATGACTCCGCGACAGTTACCAGGATATCCTCCACTCTATCTATCTGACTCGCAAAGGGAAGCCCGGCCTGCGGACATGTGACGGTCACGAAGAGCTGCTCAAGTACATGCGCAGTGATATCCTGGAGGTGGCCTCGCGACTTCAGAAAGGAGGCCTTGGCTACTTTGAAGATGATGTTGACATTGAAAATCAGGTGACCTTTTTCAACAAATGCCCTTTAGAGTTGGGGCTTGATGGAAAAAATATATATAAACAATGACTCTTTGTGCAGTTGGAAAAGATTGAAAACCTCAAAGAGTTTGGCGAGCTGATTATTACAGTTCAGTCATGTGTCATCAAGAAGTTCCTGCAAGGTTTCATGGCCCCAAAACAGAAGAAGAAGAAGAAGCAGCAAGATACTGAGGAAAACAAGGTGGAAGAAGTAAACGAGGACAAGAAACTGGCTGAAGAGGCCCGGGTAAGAGGAAGTCAATAAAAGTGTTTCTCTTATTGTCCTTTATGAAATTATAAAAGGTATTCATATTAATTGTTTTTTAAGGTGGCTTCTGCAGTTGAAAAGTGGAAGGCTGCAATCCGGGAAGCACAGACCTTTTCCAGGATGCATGTCCTTTTGGGAATGTTGGATTCTTGCATCAAGTGGGATATGTCTGCTGAGAATTCCCGCTGTAAAGTCTGCCGCAGGAAAGGTAAAATCCTTCTCCCAGATTAGACCCAGAGAGAAAGAAGTTTATGAGCTGTTCTTATGTTGATTGTATCATATAATATCAGATCTACTTTCCAACCTGTCTTTTGCCTTTTTGTTTAGCATCTAAACAAAGACAGTCTGTGGTGAGGCTTAGGGCAGGGCAGTCTCGTAGTGTAAGGCAGGTCATTCAGCAGCAGCATCAGAAATCAGCAGGTGAAGCTGTAACAAGACTGTGATCCTCAGTTGCTTCTTGGCATTATACCTGTGTCTGATGTTCTAGAAATTATGTTGTCATTCACTCTCTAACGTCTCCTGAACTTTTTCAGGTGATGACGAGAAGCTCATCCTCTGTGACGAGTGCAACAAGGCCTTCCATCTGTTTTGCTTGAGGCCAGCGCTGTATCGCATCCCGGTCGGTGAGTGGCTGTGCCCAGCCTGCCAACCCACTCTGGCTCCAAGGAAAGGCTCCCGCTCCAGGTATGTGCACCTGCCACATGTAACGTGTGGCAGATATCTGGCATAAATCTGACTTTTCCTCGGATGTGTGTCAACTTTAGACATTTCTGTAACGCTCTCATTCAGTGTTCTACAAAGTATTGTATGAATCATTTTAGAACTACTGCTAAAAAAAAGAATGTTAATGATTTTCAACTTTAATGTTGTTGGATTCTATTGAAAGCTCTCCAAATTGTTTGGGGCAGTGGGTGAGCAAATGTGATATGTTTTGTTCTAGAAACTATAATGAGAATGGAGAGGAAGATGATGAGGAAGAGTCTGAAGAGGACTCTTCTGAGGAGGAAGAGGATGATGACGAGGACAGAGACTTCAAGATGGGCCACAGCCGTAAGTGCACTAAATAAACTCGTAGCTGAGAGGCTTTTTCCACTAATTAAATACTTAGTGGGAAAATGAATAACACACGTTTAGGGTTCTATTAAAGTGGTTTGGAATGAGTGGAATGCTGTCTCCATTCTGTGTGTGTTTTCATGTAGAACTTCTCGGATTTTTCAAACCCTGGTTTCACTTAAAGTATGTGGCAGGATGATCCCTGCTCTCAGTGTAGGGCTCAACTCGAGGCCTTAGTCTTTGCTGCATCTAATCTGTTAAGTAAGGGATAACGTATATTACGCAGGTCATTATCGGAAAATAAGTACCGACAGGGCGAAGCGGACCCCGACGCGCAGCGAAGGGGTCTGCTTCCGCCCTTATTTTCCGATAATGACCTGCGTAATATACGTTATCCCGCTTATTATACGGCTTTATACCAACAGAACACACAACATAAACTTCAGTCCACTTTTAGGAATGCCGAAAGGTTTATTTAATGACAGAACATAAAATAGCTCCCAAAGGCTTTCCCGTGGCTATGCTAGCAACAGTTAGGCTGGCAACTTCCAAACTAGAACTCTCTGGAACTGCATGAAAACTGAACAAAGAATTCTGAACATCAGCGGTGAGTGACCCAAACATAAACCTAACCTAAATCCATAATTCGATCCTCTGCAAATGTGTCCGAAAATGTGCCGGTATCTACTTCCGGGTTTTTCGGGATCGCCTTTTCTCGCATTAACTACATCAATGTTTTTGTCATGAAAACGTAAACGGAAAATTCTGAAAACTTCTGTGCACTTGTATTAAGAATGTATATGTATAATGTACTCTCCGATTAACATTTCATTGCGTTGATTGATTGGCATTTGCGTTTATTGAGCGGCCGGAACTACTTCCGGGTTTTTCACGATCGCTTATTGACGCAGAGAAATAGTATTTTTGTCATGAAGACAAGACCAGAAAATTCTTAAAATTTCCGTGCACGTGTGTGAAGAATGTATATGTATAAGTATTCTCCGATTAACATTTAAGTGTGTTGGTTGAGCGTGGCTAGCTCCGGAGTGGCCGGAACTACTTGCGGAGTTATCCACGCATTTGAAAGACAAGCAGAGAGTGCGTTGCCATGGGCAGCGGTCATTATTGTTTTGAGAGGTCCGTTATAGAAAATAATGACCGGTAGAACGTTTTGAAATTACATTCAAATCAATGGAGCGTTCTACTGCTGCTGTGACGAGCCGTATAATAATTTACTATGTACAGGTCTTTCTCATGACATGGAAGCAAAGTATTTTAATCCTTCCTTTCTCTATCCTCAGTACGACCAAGAAAGAAAACTAAACGGCCTTCATCTCGATCAAAAAGTTCAAAAAGTAAACCCAAGAAGTCCAGTAGTGCCAAGAAAAAGTCTGGTCCCAACAGTCCTGCAGACATTGACGAACTGGTAAAATACTCCCTAATTTAGTTTGTCGAGTTTGTTTATCTCAATCTCGTACTGTTCTTGTCCCAGGTTCGCCAAAGCTCTCACACTGGAGCCCGTAGGCAACGACTCGAGCTAGAAAAATGTGAGGAAATCCTCAAGAAGTTGGCAAAGTTTCGTTACAGTTGGCCTTTCAGGTAAGTTGCATACATTTCCATTACTCTTTTGGCGCTTGAGTGTATCAAAATATATTAGTTTGAAATTAGGAGTTGATTTTACACTAGTCAGGTCCAAGCACCAGTTTTGTCTTGTTTTCCAGGGAGCCTGTGTCTGCAGAAGAGGCTGAGGACTACTTGGAGATCATCTCTCAGCCCATGGATTTCCAGACGATGTTTGGGAAGTTCAGTGAAGGTTCTTACCGCAACACGCAGGAGTTTGTGGAGGATCTGAAGCTCGTCTTCTGCAACGCCGAAGAGTACAATCAACAGGGCAGCACTGTGCTCGGCTGTCTGGCCAAAACAGAGCAGTCCTTCACAGAGCTCCTGCAGAAGATGCTGCCTGGTGTCAACTACCTCCGCAGGCACTCTCGCAAACGGGTGACCAAAGCTCCTGAGTCGTCTGAAGAGGAGGATGAGGATGATGATGATGAAGAAGAGGAAGATGATGAGGAAGAGGAGGAAGAAGAGCCCCCTCTAAAGAAGATTCAAAGTAGAAAGGCCAATGGGAAGAGGCGTAGGGGCAGGAAACGCGAGCAGAGTGAAGAGGAGGAGGAGGAAGAGGAGGAAGAGCCCCCTCCAAAGAAGATGCAAAGTAGAAAGGCCAATGGGAAGAGGAGTAGGGGAAGGAAACGCGAGCAGAGTGAAGAAGAGGAAGAGGAGGAGGAAGAGGAGGAGGAGGAGGAAGAGGAGGAAGAGCCCCCTCCAAAGAAGATGCAAAGTAGAAAGGCCAATGGGAAGAGGAGTAGGGGAAGGAAACGCGAGCAGAGTGAAGAAGAGGAGGAGGAAGAGGAGGAGGAAGAGGAGGAGGAAGAGGAGGAGGAAGAGGAGGAAGAGCCCCCTCCAAAGAAGATGCAAAGTAGAAAGGCCAATGGGAAGAGGAGTAGGGGAAGGAAACGCGAGCAGAGTGAAGAAGAGGAAGAGGAAGAGGAGGAGGAGGAGGAGGAGGAAGAGCCCCCTCCAAAGAAGATGCAAAGTAGAAAGGCCAATGGGAAGAGGAGTAGGGGAAGGAAACGCGAGCAGAGTGAAGAAGAGGAGGAGGAGGAGGAGGAGGAGGACACGGGTAAGAGGAGGAGTGGACGGAACTCTGGGAAGAAGAGGTACCGGGAACAGGACAGTGACGAGGAGCGGAACCCCCGCAGAACTCGTAAAGTAGCAGCTCGTGGGGGCGCCAGCAAGGACAAGGGGCGCCCCAGCCACCGACATTCCAAGAGGCTCAGGCGCTAAACTTCAGGGTGACTTTAGTTTGTTGTTTTGAATAAGAGCTGGAGACAAGCACTCAAGCAGGAGTCAGAAGAACTCCCCAGTGCCCCCAGTCATACCAGCAATTTGTTTTTTGGAATTCTGTGCATATTTTCCAGATAAAAGAAATTTTATATTTGTAACATTTTTTTTTAATCAGTGGATTTTTTTTGCCATCATGGGTTTTAAGATTATGTTGTCAGAGCTCTTAGACACTTCGATATGTATCCATGATCCAGGAGCGAGACTTCTAATTTGGAAATGTGTAGCGGAAGGAGGAGTGTCTGGGTCTATAATTCTGAAGCACCAGTCCTAGTAGGCTACATCGCACGGCAGTGATCCTTCAAGTTGTCATCACAAAGTACTTACATGTGTTGGTGTCAGTGCTGTGAAGTCGAGCGTCCTCCTGACTATTGTGTGATACAACTAGTTTTCCAGGGAAAAACCTTTTGCACTCAAAAGTTCAATTCACTTTCCCCCCACCTCATTTTACTAATTGGGGTTTCCACCCAGAACTTGTTTTGTAAAGTGTCTTGTATGTTTAGTTTGGGTCTCAGTGGAGCTGGCCAGCTGCTCTGCAGTGCCAGGTCACTTTAAACCTGTACCTCAAAGCACTATTTTGTTGTTAGTGCACAACGACACAGTATGCCAGCAGCTGCAGCAGCAACATGTGTGAAAGACCCATTTCAACGGGCATTATCACGTTTCTTTCTAGTATAATTGTAAAGTAAATCAGACATGAACAGTAATTTCAGCAGGGCAACATTACGTGTTGAATAAGTCAGTCAATTCTGCATTACTTTGGTAAAGCCACTAGGTGGAGCTATGGATCCACACTCGGTGCATCAGACTTCATCATGCACCTTCAAGCACTTACGCTGATTCAGTCCTGGTGGATTAGTATATACTGGTACTTTTAGGGACTACATGCATTAAAGTGACTGTCTACAGAAACTCTCTGATCACATGTATCTGTGACGATCATTGGTTTCCATTTATCCCACATAAATATTCATAATTTCTTTAAAAAACGGATTGACTGCCCCTTTCAAAAGTGCTGCCTGTGTGTAAATGCTTTCTTTTTTAGTGAAGGAACTAAGTCTTTTACACTTTTTTAAATATAAATATATATTTATAGTCTGAATAGGGGGCGGACTGGGTCACATAAAAACAGCCTGTGGTTGAACTCGGGTTCGCCCGGGTTTTTCTGTGTCAAGCTGATGTCACTGCCATCTGTATAACTTCGGAGAGTTCCAACGGATGTCTTTTAATTTGTAATAAAATATCAGTGCTTTTACATTGGTCTGAAGCATTTCTATGAGCATACTGTCAGTTTAGGAAGGGCGGGTAATTTGACCTAAATAACAAAGACTTTTGGAAATATCTACAACTTAGAAATTGCCTCCAGAAAATCTCAAGGCTGAACACCTTTTTCTCTGAGTCATTGATTAAAACTAAATTTAAACAAATAAAAGCATCATCAAACTCAGTGGGCTCCTTCTACACCTTTTTAATGGAGGAAGCGAACAACCTTAACATTGGGCTAAAAAAGGCTTGGGAAAAAGATTTTCAAATACAGTTTAAAAGGGAAGAATGGGCCACATTGGTGAAAAATATGCTGACCCCTATGAGGGATGCAAGATCAAAACTAATACAGTTCAAAATATTGAATAGACTTTACTGGACACCCGTTAAAATGCACAGAGCAAAGCTGAGAAGCTCCTCCCTCTGCTGGAGATGTAACTCGCAAACAGGGACCTTAATACATATGCTTTTCTCATGCAGAGTTATTAAAGCCTATTGGGAGAAAATAACAACCAAATTAAGCGCTGCTCTACGAGTAGAGATTCACCCCACACCAACAGTATGTATTTTAAACCCGTTCACTGTGAAAGGGGAAAAAACTTCTAATACTGTAACATTTGTAAAAGTAGCCCTTACTGCAGCAAATAGAGTTATCTTGAAGTACTGGAAGGCACCAGAGTGCCCCACATATACAGAGTGGTTCACAACAATGTCCGAGACTGCCTCCTATGAGAGGCTCATCTATAAAATAAATGGAAAATTATAAACATTCAATGACACATGGGAACCCTTGTTCAAACAAATGTAAAAGCATCCCTAAAGCACCACAATGCAATCTAGACTGGCTGGGGGGTAGGGGAAAGCACAGGGGTGGAAAAAAAAAAAAAAAAAAAAAACAAGAATACATAATAATAATAATAATAATAGTAAGAATAAGACTAAGAAGAAGAAGAAATAAAATAAAAGGAAATAACATATACAGTGTGGGGCAGTATAGGTCTCAGGACACTTTTGCATGTATGTATTGGCTGTATGTAAGATATCATTATTTGTATTATGAACTTTTAAAAACGCCATGTATACTTCAGCTTCTAATTGGAAAGGAATGAGTTAATGTAACAATAGCCAGACACATTTTGTTTGTTTGCATGATTGCACATGCACCTTTATATGTGTAGATATGTGTGCATGTATATATATATGTATGGGTGTGTCTGTATGTGCATGGGTATGTGTGTGTATGCGTATGGAGGTGTGTGTATGTGTATATGTATATGTGTGTATATATATATGCATATATGTATGTGTATATATATGTATGTATGTATGTATGTGTATGTAGTAGTAGTAATTAGTAGTAGTAATCTTTATTTATATACCGCCTTTTCACTGCAGATCTGAGTCTCAAAGCGGTTTACAATTGTTAATTTTTGGGCATTTGTTTCTTACTCCACACAGAGATGAGAGCAGAGTTGCCAGTACAGGAGGCGCATGCTAGAACTATTGGACATATTTTTAGTGGTAGGGGAAACCGGAGTACCCGGAGGAAACCTACGCAGACACGGGGAGAACATGCAAACTCCACTCAGAAAGGCCCTGGTCCGACCGGGATTCGAACCCAGGACCTTCTTGCTGAGAGGCGAGAGTGCTATCCACTCAGCCACCGTGCCGCCACACATATGTATATGTGTATGTATGTATATATGTGTGTATGTGCGTGTGTATGCGTGTGTGTATATATATATTTATAGGTGTGTGTGTGCATGTATGTGTATGCATGTATATATGTGCCCATGTAACCATGTGTAGGTAGATGCGCTTATGTGTATATGTATATATGTATAACAAATCTTTCATTTTATCCATCCTTTCTTTTTGGTTATATATATATATATGTATGTATATGTATGTGTATATTATATGTATATGTATGTGTGTGTATGTATATATGTATATGTATATATATATGTATATATAATTTTTTTATTTTTTTATTTTTTTTTATTCCTTATTTATCATTATCTTGCGTGGCTGCATCTTGACTGAGACCTGAATGCAAGAATACTGTATACTACCTTTCATAATAATAATAATAAAAAAAAATAATAATAAAAAAAAAGGAAGGGCGGGTAAGCATATATTTTTACATATTTAATGGTGTGAAGACTTTGGCCTTTTATGAACTTGTTCTTAGGATACATTTAAGTTAAGCTCTTTATTTTGTCTTGTGATCTAGTTAGAATCCCACATTGACGTTTTATTTAACAAAAGGAAATCACGTTTTAAACATCAACATAGTGGCTTATATTAAACTTGGGAACTGGGGGCTTTCCAAAAGTTAATCACCCAAACATCACTCCCTGCGAATTCAAAACAATGGCTGACCAATCCCATGAGGGGAGGGGGCCACAGGGGGCCACAGGGGGCAGGTGCAGTTAAAACATGTGTGTATGGACTATTGTGCTTGGCGATTGGTGTCCAGATAGTATGTTAGAGAGGACAGGTTGGAGCAGGTTCAACAGCAGCAGGTGCTTTCTCTCCACAACACGCAAACAGAGGCCGAACAGAGTAATCTTTGAACTGTGCACAAACTCACAGGAGCCACTGTGACCGGAGTTTGCATGAGGAGCAACCCGCCCTGCAAATATTTACACCAGGTACAAATCAGAGCCAGGGACATGGACGGAGAGAGTGTGGGAAGGTCAAGTTCATACATGCATACAGCAAAAACAGCAAAATGAACAAAGTACCTAAAAGCAGGTCTAGTCCACTTGTGGCCCACGAGCTAAATCAGGCCCTCCGGATAATCTAATCTGGCCCTCTGCCCGTGTTTACTGCAAAAAGTAGGCAGTTAATTCTCAAATCAAGTAGTTATTTTCATTTTTATTTTTTTTAATCATTTTTTTAATCTTTGTTCAAGTGCATTTTGGAAACGGGTAACGCAAAAACTTTCTTCCTTTAACTAAAGTAGAAGGAAAATGTGCTTGTCTCTTGAAATATAAATTTAAAAAAAATAGTGCAAATACATATGAAACATATTATATACAAAATTCTGAATGAATGATAATTAAAATATAAATGCTTCATGTCTGGCTAATGTCTGTTTTATACCTGGGAGAACAGCGCAGTCCAAGACTACTGGTTTGGCATTTATTATTCCCAAAATGACTGGATTATTGTGTTTGATAAATCTGTTGTTATATGTTCAAAGTCGTGATGTGTAGATTCTGAAGATTTGGCCAATGGGATTAGTTCAATAGCCCTGACTTCAAGTTTGCAAACCCAAATGAGAGCAAAAAACCCACATGACCTGTTCTCGGCATAAGACCTACAATTGACACAAACAATTACACCGAGAGGACGTTTGAGATTTAGAATAAAGAAAATTTTGTACAGTAGGCTAACCACCTCCTGGGAAATATTTTGCTAGCGCCCCTTACACAGGCACAACAAAAAAGTTCAATGGGAAAAGTCCATAATTATTGATAATTTCATTTGCCTTGTAAATGTCTGCACTCCCACAATTCATTCATTGAGATTGAGAAAAGAATCCAAAGGCATGTGCGATAATGCAAAATACAAAATCAATTCAATGTGTTGTGAAAACATCATCTAATAATGTTATAACTATAGTCCAACGATAAAGTTCTGCTCATTTTGTCCAAAGTGTGGATTGGTTTTAGGAAGACGTCCAGATACATTTGACCAACACTTTGGTTTATACGGAGGAGAAATCCAAACCTTGAACTACAACAATAGGACATCCACCGGTCCTTCTGTGGTCATGTAAGTAAGTGATATTTATTTGTATAGCGCATTTCACAAACCAGAGTCACAAAGCACTTTACAATTCATGAGAATCAAGTCACGAGACCTTAGAGGTGTAGTATTTATTTTAGTAGCATTGAAGGACGGGTAAAATGCAGACTTTTCTCCTTTTTTGTGCTGGTGTCTGTACTTTATCTGACTATTTTTTGGGAAATTCTTTAACCCCAAATATATTTACTCTGTACATTTTAAACAATGGGTTAGATTTATTGCAGATGACGGCAAAAAGAGCGAGGATCTCAAAGCTGCAGGGTGTCTCATGGACACTAATAAGTTATTCTTGCAAGTGAATTCATTAATTTTTTTTTTGGCCGTTTCACTCATAAAACTATGGAGGGTCAAATAAAATGATGAAAAAAAGGGAATGACTCCGAAGCATTTTATTATAATACATTTATAATATATATATTATATTGTTTATAATTGTTTTGTAACCAAAGTGTAATTATTTCATCCCTCGCTGAACCTGAATCACGGTTGTTAAGTGTTGCTGTTTCGAACAGAATGACTTATAAGTGACAAAAGTGACATAATCATTCAAGATATAGTCTCTTCACGGCGTCGTGGACATGCCCCACATTCTCTCCTTTCTGTTGGATGATTACAAATGCATTATTCACAAAAACAGAGATCTCTCCTCCACTGCGTTTCAGTGATGTGCGTCTGCTGCCTTTGATGATATAACCAAAATAAGACGGGGAAGAAAAGGGGAGTGCAGAAAAAGAGAAGTTCAGAGGATGGTGGTCCTCCTGGGAGAGCGGCGCTCATCCTCCAGAGCCTCACATCGAAAATGATTGATTCTGCTGCATTTACATATCACTCGTGTGTGATTTCTGACATACTTCAGACAACAAGGCCTTATCAAGGCAAGAGCAATACTCTAAAAGTATATGCAGCATGCAAACAAAAATAATGAAAACTTCTAAATATTTTCAGTCAACTAAAACCCATGGGCTGAAACTAAAGACCTCCAATATGGTGGCTGAGTGGATAGCACTCTCGCCTCGCAGTAAGAAGGTCCTGGGTTCGAATCCTGGTCGGACCAGGGTCTTTCTGAGTGGACTTTGCATGTTCTCCCTGTGTCTGCGTAGGTTTCCTCCGGGTACTCCGGTTTCCCCTACCACTAAAAATATGTACAATAGTTCTGGCATGTGCCTCCTGTACTGGCCTCGCTCCCATCTCTGTGTGGAGTGAGAGACAAGTGCCCAAAAATAACAATTGTAAACCGTTTTGTGACTCTGGTCTGAGAAACGCGGTATATAAATAAAGATTACTTACTTACAACATGTCTCCTTTGTTTTAAGTCTGATTGTGACTGTTCAGTGTTCACTGTCCAGGTATATGGCATGCAGAGCTCCAAGTAGAGCCACTGCTCCCCAACCTTATTCCTCTGAAGGCCCCAGGTGCAGTGTGACATGTGCCAAGAAGGCCACAGGGAGGACCTGGAAAAGGAAAGTAGAGTTCTTGGGTCAAGCATTCACTTTGAGGATTCCCACCGTGAGGCAAAGACTGCTGTCTTTGTGATCTGATATCTCCTTTTAAACGTAAATAACTTTTTGATTTATGAATGAAAAATAATGAATTATTATTAGTACATTGTTATTGACAGAATTAACTGATTACAAAACTAAACTTTCTTGAGCTAAACTTTTAATATGCTTTAATACATACATCCATGGCTCTACTGTAGAAGAGAGACCGTCCTGAGCACCTCCCTGAGCACCTCCCTGAGCATCTCCCTGAGCACCTCCCTGAGCATCATCCTGAGCACCTCCCTGAGCATCATCCTGAGCACCTCCCTGAGCACCTCCCTGAGCATCTCCCTGAGCACCTCCCTGAGCACCTCCCTGAGCATCTCCCTGAGCATCTCCCTGAGCACCTCCCTGAGCATCTCCCTGAGCACCTCCCTGAGCACCTCCCTGAGCACCTCCCTGAGCACCTCCCTGAGCACCTCCCTGAGCAACACAGGGAGACTGACAGTCTTTGGGGGAGACACATTTGTTGGAGCTGAGTATTTCACTTTCACCACAATAAATTATGTTGTACACACATGACAGGAGGTGAATAAATGTAGTTTTTGAGGTTAACTAGTCTGGGACATTTGAAAGCCCTGACAAACTGAGTTATTATCAGCCATCAAATAAAATACTGAACCTAAAACACAACTGTTAATTGTAAAATAAAAGAGATAGCCTCCTTTGTCTACAACAACAACCCATTCCCTACAGGTGGCCACGTTCTGCTCACAACAACTCAATCCATCAATCAAATCTTCACAATTCTACACAAAGCAACACAAAGTTCTTCACTATAGTCTACAAACAGGCAGCAGGATGAACATTAGACTAAAACATACACATTTTGTACAAATACACAGACAAATATCAATATAAAACACACAATATCTCAAAATGCTTGTAACAGCTCTGTGTTTAAGGTAGATCGAATCAGTAATATGCCATCACCTACAAAGCCCTCCATAACCTCGCTCCTTCATACAGTACCTCACTGAACTTCTACAGCCCTACGGTTAGTCCCGCTGACTCCGATCTGCAGACTCAGAACTCCCACCGTCAAATCCAAGCACCGAACCTTGGGGGACCGAGCTTTCGCCATCTCTGCTCCCACTCTCTGGAACTCCCTCCCCCTCCATCTCAGAAACTGGGACTCTCTAAACTCCTTCAAAAAACAGCTAAAAACTCACCTCTTCCTCCATGCATACGACTCTTAGTTTCAACTTTGTACTCTTCTTTCCTGCTTTTAGATTTTTAGTTTTGTGTGTCTGTCTCAGCGTGTGTGTGTGTGTGTGTGTGTGTGTGTGCGTGTATCCCGAATTGTGAAGCGTCTTTGAGTTTTTGAAAAGCGCTACATAAAACCGATGTATTATTATTATTATTATTAATATTAAAATAGAAGGTTGTCTTACATTCCCAGGAAGACAGTTCGAGACCTCTGCTGCAGGAATTTGCTCATTTTGGTCATTTTTTGGCAAGAATACCTCCATAATGTAAAAAATATAGTTCAACTTTAAAAGTGTTGTTTGGCCACCCCTGGTCTTAGTAAAGAAGTGACGTGACTAACTTTCCCCAGTCTTTTTAATCTGATCTAAAATCACTGACACTGATCAAATGGAGTTTACCAACCATCAATACATGTCCATGGTATCTGACCTGTTTTCATGGTTATAGGTCAGATAGATTATTTTATTTATATACCGCCTTTCACAGACCAGAGTCACAAAGCAATTTACAATTGTTATTTTTGGGCATTAGTCTTTCACTCCACACAGAGATGGGGTCGCCAGTACAGGAGGCGCATGCCAGACCTACTGTACATGTTTTTAGTGGTAGGGGAAACCGGAGCACCCGGAGGAAACCTATGCAGACACGGGGAGAACATGCAAACTCCACTCAGTAAGGCCCTGCTCCGACCGGGATTCGAACCCAGGACCAGATTGGAGTTTTTGAATTCCGTTATGAAACAAATAATGCACCAGAGATCCCCAACATTTTAGTTTGGTGTCCAGACCTGACATAGGGTTGAAAATGGTATAATAGAGAGGATACAATGCTTTGTTACCCTCCAGATTACATCTAAAGTTACACGATGGCCAAGCTGCTGTCAGCTGGGGTTCATGTTTCTTCAGTGTGCATATGCCTGGTGACTGGTGAGTGGGATGCCAGCAATAAATAGATTAAAGTCCTGCCCCTATATCCACCCCTGAATCGCATCACCCTGCAGCTGTTCAGCCTTACTCAAGGAAAGGTTTTCAATTTAATAAGAAACTGGGGGTGTAGAATTGCTTTAGAATATTCTTGGGGGTGTGCAAATTCCAGTGCCACCAATGCTGCTGTTTATTTCTATTTGAGCATGTATAATAAATGTATGGTTGAGCCTGGCGTGCGCACAAGTCAAGGTGTGCTGTAGCAGTGTGCGTGAGTCCTAATGGGAAGCAGTCACTGAGCTACTGATGGCTCCATAAAGGAGTCTTTGAATGGCTTGGCGCTGGTAAATTCATAGCAGATGTGAGGGAAAGAATATCCACCCAGGTTGAGTGGCCCTTCGCAGTGAAAGGCGACAGGAGCACAATCCAGGGAGGCAGAGAGACGGCAGACATGAGCCAGGACACACACACCTTGGGTATATTCCAATCAGCCACAGGGCAGCTCTTTCCACAAATGTTTTAAGTTTAAAATAATTCCCCTTATTGTTGAATCTGACTTTGCTGCATGGCTCCCTGGCAGGTTGTCCTCTTCAAGTTTCTGAGGCCAGGTGTTTGCTTCAAAAATTGTTGAATCAAGCCCCCTGTTCCCTCAGGACGCTGGCCAGGCTTTTTATGCCACCTTCTCTGGCTCCAGTTGACGCCAGCGCAGCAGCGGGGAGAGACTGGCGCCTCTGCCCCAGTTAGCTTCGTCTCCATCTGCACGCACAGCCAGGTAATACATCAGAACAGCATATAACAAATATGGTCATCATGGAGATTTGAAATGAAGACGCATTAACTCGTAGAACCATAGTTACATTCGGTAACTTATGTGCGCCTGTTGGTACGTCACTGTCATCTTTAGTTTTTACGTTTTATATGTTTTGATTTCTGTGTTATTTCTGAACCACTGTGAATAAGCAAACACAAATCAACCCAGTTTCCACTATTTAGGAGTTTCCAAGGTACAATGCACCTAAACCCTATTCATGTGAAAGTCCCTTGCAATGTGTCAGCAAAAAACAACCGCATTCTTAATTATTACAAGTCTGGGAAATGCTTCACGTGGGAGCAGTGACTGAGCCCTCCAGGTAATTATGTCAGATTGGTGGTAGATTTTGTTTTATTACCTGTGCTGCAATAAACATGTATGCATAATGTTTCTTTTTTTTTTTTTACTTAAAAGGCCTTTCTTGCCAGCTCGTAAACCAGAGCCTTGTATCCGGGGGCCATTAGTAAACACAACATGAGCACGGTCACACTCGTAAACTGTCATAATGTGAAGCTGTAGCCGCGTCAGGCATTACTCAAACTAAACAACAACACCAAAACACAACAGACCTCGTCAAAGACCGCCATTGGGTTGTATGGTTAAAACTACCCTCTGGTCATACGTGTGCGTGTGTGTGTGTGTGTGTGTGTGTGTTCAGAAGGTCCCAGTGGTGTAAGCTGCTTGACAAAGGTAATCTAACATGCAAGAGTGCTTCTGGAAGACCCTGAAGAGTAAGCAGATTTTTGTGTGATACGCCTCCAGTGTGTGTGTGTGGGGGGTACTTTGTGTGTAACCTGGATTCTTCCATGTACTAACTGCCACTGAACTCAAAAAGCAAGAAAATAATGATATTTTTCCGAAAAAGTATGAGCTTTTTAGTATTATTGAGGAGGTGCTATACCCAAGGCAAGGCAAGTTTATTGTATAGCACAATTCATACACAATGCTCAAAGTGCTGAACAAATCAAGATAGAGACAGTCGCACAAGGCACTACAATAGAATAAATAATATATAATTATAATTTGTCACAGTACGTTCAAAAGAGTGAAGGTAAAATCCCTCAGTTGTCTGCACAGCTAAAAAGAATTGTTTTTAACCTGGAATTCGAGCATTGTCAGAGAAGAAGCCTGTCTCATATTTTCAGGAAGATTTCAGATTTTAGCGGCATGAATCTGAAATGCAGACTCCCAGAAAAGCAGATGTTTAGTTCTGACTCATTGAGTACATTATTTAGTTCTGAACCTACAGCAACATTATATCGCATTGTCTCCTTTGTGTTTCTTCCACATTATTGACCCCTTGCATGTGACGTCCCGGCCACGCCCACTCTCCATGACAGAGGGCAGAAGTCTAACTGGAGCCTACGGACACCTGACCAAAAAAACCTGTTTCAGCGCATTACAGCCAAAACGGTGACATTTTGCAGTGCGGTTGATTATACTAACAGGCAAGGACATTGGCTTTTTTATCTGATACCTGCTCGTCATGAAGACAGAAGACGACGATGGCCAGCGGCAATCAACCAAAAGGACTGGGACCCATTAAGTACTCCCTAATCTGCAGTGAACACTTTGTACAAGATAGAGCAATCACAAGTTTGTATTTATTTTATTTCCATTAATGTGGAGGACAATGACACACGTCAAACATGTCTCTTACTACTGTCCTGTATGTGCGCTGCAACATTGAAATTTTTATCTTTTAAGTCAATTGCGTGTTTCACTATTTTCCTCTCCCTCAGTACGTATCATGTTTGGCTGTAGACAGAAAAGCCACAGAAAAGTGGACTATTGCTAATGCTACCAGCAAAATGTACATATAAATCTGCTCCAGTGTGAGGGGATGCATTGTTAACGATAATGATAAAGATCATGTAGGGTGAATTTGGGCAAAAATAGACATTTTATTTAATCGATAAAATTGACTGGGGGGAGAAGGTACGGGTCAACATCCAGTTAGGCGATCCTTAACTTCTCCAAATACCACTCTTTGTGAGCCCTGACCTGATGTCCTACTTCCACCTATAACGTAATCGAACATTGCTTGAAGCAGCCACTTCTCGATTTAAGAGAGGAAGCTCCGTTTTTAAGAGTTGTGTCCGTTTTGCTCTCGCAGCAATGCTAGTTTCCAATACTTCTGCCGTAAGCTCATTCACAATCACGCGACTGGATGACGTTGATGTATCTGGTCAATATGTAAAAAATCTGGCCAAAAGCGGTACTGCACTCTCCCTGACTCAGGTTGCCAGATATGCAGACAAATCCAGCTGGGACCGTAACAGCTGAATAGACAAGAGTTTTGTCAACAACAAATCAATTAAAATAACACCTTTTTTTTTTTACAAAGAATGAAATTCTTGTTTTGTCGTTAATGATTTGAGAATCATATCCAGACCATTTTTAGTTCTGCGGCCACATAGTACTTTCCCAGTGAGATTAGCTCGACACGGTGAGTTCTGGAAACCGGTACACAGACTTTCTGATTGGTTAAACGGTGGAGGGCGGGACATCAAAATGAAAACAATAACAATATTTAGGGGCTGTTAAACAAATGTTGAAATCCAACTTTCTCTGAACCACTGTTGTCAGTTAAAGAAGTATTGGAAAAGAGCATAGTTTATTAATGCCTTTTGACAGATTAGGGCCCTTTAATGAAGACTTAACATGAAAATCTTACATATTGCTACTTTAATGTCAGCGTGGTAATCCAGCCTTCAGTACCGAACTTTCAAAACCCAAAAAACCATCTGTAATAAGTTTGAAATCATTTTGACGATAGATTGAATCCAACTGTGGTATTTTCAATTCTTGTAATGCCTTGTGTGATTGTTTCTATCTTGTTTTGTCGAGCACTTTTAGTTGCCTCGTGTGTGTGCTGTGCAACACAAATAAACTGCCCATGCCTCGCCTTTATCCAAAATTGATGCCGAAAAATTGTGGCTGCTGAAAACCGTAACTACAGTATTACCTGTAACTGTGAATCATTAAAAAGAGACTGTAATGCTGCTTGGTTTGAGCCTGACAATCCCATCTCACTCTTTTTTCTAAATATCGACAACTAAATCAGTGGTTGATTATTGGTAAAAAGTTGATTTGTTGTGATTAATCATGATTAATCCTTCCAGCCCTACTCTGTAATAAAATCCACCTCACTTGTTCTTGGCTCCACAACGCTTTTTGGCTTCTGTCACATCATGAGATCAGTTTTTTCAGACAGAAAAGTGAAAAGGAGAGGACCACCCTCACTTCCATCTGCTCTCAGGATAACATTTGCAAGATGACGACTGCATGTTGTGGTCTAATTTGTTCACAAAGAAATGCTATCTAAACATTACTCTTTCTCTTGGGACAAACAAAAGTGTAATGAAACCAAACTGATGGTTTTGTTAGACGCTCCTGCCCTAAGCTTCGGGTCCGAACAATAGCGGTTGCCAGAGGGCTCTCTTTCACTTTTAATTAAAACTTCACACCCAAATAAATGTATCACACCCACATATGGCCCAGTCAGAGGAGCCTCAGGGGCCAGATGTTTACCTTAGCAAGGATAAATATCTAAGTGGCAGCTTTTTCTGTAAGAGAATCTGCTCCCTCTGTCGTTTTGTCGGATTAGCCGGGGTAAGGAAAACATAGGGATCGTATTCAGCGTGTTTCCCACTGTCGGCCTGATCAGCATAAACACCCCGAGTGCTTGGCCTTCCCTGCTCCGCCAGCCCTCGCCTGCCTCCATGGGCCTGTAGCCACCCATTTGTTTTAGTAGCAGAGGCACAGAGCAGTGTTTGGTTGTGTTTTGTGTCACACTGGGCGTTTGATTATACCAAGCATTACATGGTGCGGCTGTGCATGAGGAGAAAGGCGGGAGACACTAATCCCACTCTGCTTTGTCCTCCGCTGCACTGGCCGGGCCTTTGCAGGACACTTCACACAGCCACTCCTGAGAATTTCATGTAAAAGCCATTTAGAAAGTCTTCTTGGGGGGGCACATATACTCTTGTGTTCAATGTAAAAAGGACTGAGAGCACTGGGGAGACCTTACACAAATGTGACAACCATATTGCATGTAGTCATTAACTAAAGCAGAGGTCTAGCTGGAGGGGCTGGAATTGCTAAAAAGTATGGCTCGTTCATTATGTAGTGTATTTAATAAAAGTGTTGAGATGGTGCACATGTATATATGCAAAATAACAATAAACAGAAAATTTGAAAATACACACACACACACACACGCACGCACGCACGCACGCACGCACACACACACACACACACACACACACACACACACACACACACACACACACACACACACACACACACACACACACACACACACACACACACACACACACACACACACACACACACACACACACACACACAGACAGACAGACAGACTCTCTGACCATACACCTCTCTCCCACTACTCAAGCTGAAGGTGCTGAAGGCATCACTCCTACACAAACTTCTCTGGTGCTTTTTTAAAAAACATATTTTTTTTACCAGGTTTAAACATGTTTTTGTGTGTAAAGTAAGTGATTTTAGGACATGATTCATCAGTTTGCTTCCACCTTAAGGGAATCTAATCACCTTTGCACTAATGAAAATCCTTGCAAATACATCATTGTCACAAAGAGTTTCCTCGTGTTGGAAGAAAGTCTTGGTTGTAATCCTAAATTACAAACACAGCTTCATGCTTTTCATGAAGCAATGTTTGGAACTTGCAATTTGTGAGAATTCAAAAGAAAATCCATGATACTTTTAAGAAAGAAAATATGTGCAAAAGTAAATTGTGTAATTTCTATGCCAGATCTGAATGTTATATGGTGGTCAAAACTAAATAATATATCTTCAAATACATAAACAAGACTGAACAGATGAGGACTTTTGAGCAGTACGGTCCTCAGACTGATACAGATGCTGACAACCATTTGGTCTAGGAATCTAATTACTTACCCTAAAAAATGAATGAACACAAC